AGTTTTAATCTTCCTCTTTGAAGATGATCACTTGGTGATCGAAACACGTGTCGAGGTGTTGAAAATAACGATTTGGTGTTGGTAAAAAACTCCAGTTATATTCATTACTACACCAAAGGTTCCAAACAGTGCATCATAAGTACAACATTTCTCAGTCGATAATTCGTAAAATCACGCTGAAAAAATGTGATTGGCTATTGTATTTTCAATCATACGCAATCTACTAATTTCTAAGCAGAATACAATTATAAAAATGTAATATATTTATGTGATGCATACTTTTAAGAGGGCAAAGAAGAAATGTTTATCGGTGTAATGATAGTTAGTTGAAAATTTCAAATTTGACGCCTACTATGAATTGTTTCATCTTCACTGATCAACTCAGTATTGAAAGTGATTTTTAATCTTGAAAAAACCTGACCTTGATCCAAATTTTGGGACTATTAAATATCCAACATATGTACAGTTGTGGTAACATCCACTGTGTACACTGCTGTATCAATATTTACTTACATATTTTTGGGATTAGTAGAATAGTAGGATGTTGAAACTACTTTCAGATACAATAATAATAATGATAATAATAGCAGGCATGTGAGATACAAAAAGTATGATAACTGTCATGCATTTTTTTCGTTAAAACTGATCTGTCAAATGAAAGGCAAGGATACTTACATAACAAGAATGAGGTGATAAAGACTTTTGGTGAACGAAACAAGAGGTCTAATAAATAGCTGAAAAAGTATATTCAGATAATTTTTAAGTATAGGTTCTCCCAACAGGACTTCCCAACTTTGACAATTGATAACGGCCATCTTGTTGAAGCTACATCTGTCAAATCTATTGTCATTTATTCAGTCTGTTTCGCCATCACCATGAATGGGTATAGCATTCAACAAGATGTGCAACTAATGAAATCTTTTATCAAAATGGGTGTTCTATACGGGCACGCTTCGCCCATTTTATGGTACCGAGAGAACTAATCGCATTGTGATAGATGAATTCGAGTCTGCTGGTTCAGTGAACGATCTACAAGCACCTGTACTCCAACGAAGCGTAAGATCTGCCGAAAACATCGCTGCTGTCTGTGAGAGTGTGCAGGACAATCCGAGTCGATTTCGCGTCGCTCACAAAAACATAACACAACTTGGTGGATTTCGCGTCGTGACTTGGGCCTCGTCCAGTACAAAATTCAACTGACCCAGGAGCTGAAGGTATACGACCAGAGACAACGACGTGTGTTTGTTGAATGGGCTCTGGAACAGTTGGCAAACGACCCTAATTTTCATCAAAAAATCATCTTCAGCGAAGAGGCCCATTTATGGATGAATGGGTAGGTGAACAAACAAAATTGTCGATTTTGGGACGATACCATTCCGCATTAGATCCAAGAGCGTCATTGAAATATACATGAAAAAATTTTAATGTGGCCTTATTATACAAGCGAACTCATAAATCTCAGCTAGTTATTTCAATATATTTTTAAAGATCTTAAATTATACTCCTTAATATCAATAATGAATGATTCAATATAAATTTCACCATCATTAAAAATTATTCAAATAATTAATNGTCAAGGAAGGAAGGAAGGGAGAACCAAAAGAGTTTACAAATCAATATTTTTTCTGAACAGTTTTGGGGAACTATTGGTATAGTATGTTTCACTGTAAATGGTGTTGGCTTATCAACTGCAATATAATAACTGGTTTAATCTCATTGTGTAATCCCTCCTTTCACATCAGAATAATATGAAAGCTGGTAATTTTGTCCCTCAGAGAGGATTTATACAATGGGATTGAACCAGGTAGTTTATTGCGGTTGATACATACTATATAGACTATCAAAAGTGAAAACTATCGAGAAAAATATATAAAATAACCATCGAAGATAAGAAAAAAATGTTCAAATATGTTGTCAGTGAAACAACACAATTTCAAAATTACTTGATATAAATCGTTATATATCGTGGTATACCGAAAGACTATAATTTGTATACTCTTCCAAACTGCAGAAGCACTTTCTCAAAACAAGGTTTATCACTGCTCTTTTCTGAATAACGAATATAATCTGCATCGGGATCTGGCTGCCTGAGCCACAGACAAGAATTTCATACCGGAGATGACGCTCCATAAGTGAATATTATGCAGTTATTGCTGCTGAAAATCCGAGTTCACGAGATACGACATTTATGGCAACGCAACCAGAGGATAATTTCGTTCTTATAGCAGTAATTCGTGTATCAAATTTTAAATTACTGTCAATGAATATAGCAAGAAATTTAGTTACAGGCTTAGTTTCAATCATGCGTTCACCTAGTATTACTTGTTCTAAGTCCTACATGAATGTTATCAGATTTGTTTTAGAAACATTTAGCGATACCATATTCGATTCACACCATTTTGTTATTCTTCCTAAATCTGAGTGGGTAGACCGAGTCAAAGTACCAGGATCTTTATTATGCCAAAGTAATGCGGTGTCATCCGCAAACAGGGTAAATGCTCTAGATATATCAAGTTTTGCTATATCGTTAATATATAGCAAGAATAAAATTGGGTCTAGGGCTGACCCCTGAGGAGTGTTGTTGCTCAATGTTATTTTTTGACTCCTACCAGTAAGATAAGATCTGAACTATTCGAAGGCGGTTCTCCGGAATCCTTAATGGAAGAGTTTTAGCAGCAAATTTTATGTTCCGAGGAATCAAATGCCTTAGAAAGGCCCATAAATACTGCCGCAGCCACTTCTTCATCATTTAGGGTCGTGTAGACGTTTTCGCTAATGT